AGAGTCACCCTTGCTTATCATAACTATGTATTCAATTTGTTTCAATAATACCAAGGAGTAGAGAAGAAGATTTTCAAAGAAATAATGCACTTTCACTATATGATCTATATAGCCCCGCCCTAGCACCAGAACCCCTGACCCTGGGGCCATGAATTTCACAACTTTGGTAGAGGGCTCAATGCTTATTACAATCATGTCAACAGTTTGACTGCTTGATGTCCAGGAGTAAAGAAGAAGATTTTTAAAGATTGCATTAATTTTGATGGTTTTAGCCCCACCCCTCAGGCCCCAGGGGGGCAGGGACCATGAAATTCACAAATTTTGTTCCCCTTCACACATAGATGCCATATGCAAAAATTGGCTGAAATTGGTTCAGCGGTTTCAGAGAAGAAGCTGAAAATGTTCAAATGTTAACACACGACGCACGACGGACGACGACGGACGAAAACGGATAGCAATAGGTCACCTGAGTGACTCAGGTGACCTAAAAAAAATTACCACTTGTTTGAAACTGTCTTAGTTTGTTATAGGAAAAGATTCATGAGTTATCTCTCTTTGTCCAAAATCTTTCCGAGGGTGCATTTGCATGGCGGTTTTCCCGAGTAGTTCCGTAGTGGGTGTGGAGAATCTGATGACATACAAAATCCAAATGTCTACCTACTGGAACAAACTAGTAAAGTACGGAAATTACTAGTATAGAGAACCTAAACATATGTTCATGGGATCTGAAAGCCTCATCAAAGGTACATTTATTGCAACATGGAATTAATGTACCCTCCTTCTTTGGTCTAAGGTATTATTATTGTAAAATATGAGGAAAAAAAAGATTGTTTTCATAAACTGAACTGGTACCTTCACAACCTGTCCTTTATAGCATGTATTTAGTTTTGATTCATCCAATCTTCCTTCTTTATAGTATGTATTTAGTCTTGATTCATCCAATCTTTTCTAACTTCTAAATAAAGTCTCAAAGTTTACTCTTTCATATTTAGCTAATTTGTATATGATCTCTAAAGTATGTATGGTTATTTTGTGAAGTAATCCTTTATGGAATTAAATATCATGAACTAAGAGCAAAATGAAGTGAATTCAATTCATATGGAAGGTCAAGGTCAGAAAATGATGACATTTAAAAAAAAAATCTCTAATCAATCTGCATCAGTATATAAAGTATTACAAATTATAGCTTGAACACTTTGTTTTGAAACTAAGGTAACTGAAGGAATGGTGAGGTCAAGGTCATTGAAAAGGTACAAATATTATACTGACATATTTGAACTACTCACAAAATGAATCTTCTTATAAATTTGATTTAAAAAATGTCAAAACTGAAGTCTAAGGTATAGGAAGGTCAAAGTCATAAGAAAGTTCAAGGACAGAAGATTACAACAAGTTTAATTACTCTAACCAACATGTAATTTTCTATAAAGTTTAATTACATATCCTGAAAAAAGAAGTTAAGATCATAGGGAAGGTCACGGTCATAACATTATGACACAGTTGAATATCTCTCATCAGTTTATATTAGTGTACAAAGTTTGATAAAAAAAAAATTAGGAACACTTTCTTCTAAACTGTGCTAAATGCAAAATAATTAATAGTAAGGTCAATGCCATGTGGAAAGTCAAGGTCAAAATTTGTATCAATTTATGAATTTGGTTAAAATATCTTAAACAGTTTTTTTGAAAATTGAGCTAAATGCAAAGTATTAGACGGACAGGCAGAAAGAAAGACATAACAAACACTGTATATGCTCCAGCCATATTTATGGCAGGGCATTAAAAGTAAAAAAAAATGTGCAATGACGGACGGACACACTGATAACAAATTTCTGACGGGCCCTGAGTAAACTTGTCATTCAAAATTAGGTTTTATCCCGTATGCTGTATACAGGGCTTTTTTCACTCCTTAGTATTTTCACCCTCTCACACATTCAAACAATTATGCCCCATTCTAAATTCTTCAGACACAGTTGTATTAAAGAAATAATGCTATTTAATTTGAATTCACTCCATTTTAAATTCGCCCACTTGGAATAAAGGCGAAAGTTACCCTGTATACAATAATAATAACAAAGCTCAACTCCACATCTGACGTAAGGCAGTCAATAAAATGTAATGAAAATGTTTTTGTGCTTCACTTAATTCCATTTCACATGTTGAATAATCAAGAAATTCAGATTTCATGTCATTTAAACTCTAGTGTAAAGTCATTGTACTTACTTCCTAAAACAAGAGGCCCATGAGCCACAATGCTCACCTGAGTCATTATGGCCCTTCTGTTCTTTACCAACCAGCAGATTTTTTCCCTATATATTCCTTTGTAAAATTGCAACCCCACCCTAACACCAGGGGTCATGATTTAAACAGACTTGAATCTGTGATCCCATACTAGTTAATTCACCGGTTTTCTTGTTATAACTCACTGACACGACTCAGGCAACTGTGGTATCAAAGCACATTTCCTTTCACTACAGGATGCAGAATCGAGTCGCTAAACGTAGAAACAAACCGGAACAGATATATGAAATTCCAAATTGTTTGTTTTTTCCCAAGACGGATTTCTCCTAAACCTATGTGCGAGGGTGACATTATATGTTGAATTAACTTTGGAGAATAAGTACTTGATACTCCAAACAAAAGTTATTCTTAACCCGTGTACATGTATGTTGATGAATATTAAAATGTTTATGAAAACTGATGCCCCCGCATGGCAGCTCGAGGCCAAGGATAAAATTTTCAAAAAGTAGTGAAACTGCAAGATCAAGGTCATGAGGTCAAAAATGTTCATACCTAAAGAAAGGTCTTGTCACAAAAAATATACTTGTGAAATATGTAAGCCTTAGCACCAACCATTCTGAAGTTATGGCTAAGGTTAAAGTTGTTCAAAAATAGGTCAAACTATGAAGGTGTCAACCGATACAGTGACTTCAAAATTTGATACTGCCATGAATCAAAGTTGTTACACTAATTATTGTATCGAGAGTCTGTTTAGTTCTTAGTTTCAGAGATGTTGGCCTGAATTTGTAAAACCTTGAGATAACACATTGAAGCAAGGTGGTACCATTAACCAATCTGAGCCAGAACAACTATTGTATGAAGTATAGATATCGATTCTTACATCTTTGATTCATGGCAGTATCAGTTGAAGGCCACTGTATCTGTTAACCTTCCACTAGGCCCAATTCCATAATTACCGTAAATAGAATAACTAATACTCTACTAAATAGTTCAGTCTTTGCTGATCTTATTTTTATCCATTCTACATGTTTTATTTTTATCCTTTCTAGATGTTTTACTACGCTTTTTTCTGGTTTTGATTGAGAAAATGTCTTCCATCAATTATTGTGGATAAGCAAGAATTTACTTCAATATCCATTAATTAAATGAAACTTACAGACACATTTAGGTCAATTACCATTCCAGGTACTTTTATCAATAAACGAATGCAATCAATCTCTCAGCAACAGTTTCAAGGACAGAAAATTATTTGTTATAATGGATTTTTCCCTCATTCTGTTTATCAAGGAAACTTGAGACAATCATTATGTAACTTTATATTTTATTAATTTGAATAAACATAACTGATTGATAGAAAGTTCATTTTTTCCTCTAAAATAACAATGAATGACATTTTCACAAAAGTAATTACATCCATCTGGTCTTTCAATCATTGGTCTAAAAATATCCTACTGAAATATGAAGATTTGTCCCCCAAATAGGTTAACTAAGTAAAAGTACAATGCTTAAAAAAGATATTTATTGTTTTATTTCTAGTCAAGATCTACACTTGAAGAAAGCTTGTTTTTAAGTATTGGAGCTTTGTTTCCTTGAAGAAGCTTTTAAAGGAATAATTCCTTGTAATTTAATTTCACTTTGAAACTTTTCACTTGTATTTCTTCTGTTCTTGATAAAATTTGAAAAGTTTATCTGCCTACATATTCCTATTCTTATTGTGGCCCCAACCCAGAACCTATTAGATATAATTAGAATAAATATAAATCAAAACTGTATTTAAAATAAAGGTACTGTGTGCTCACAAAATGGCACAACCCTGCTCCCATATGAGTATAATGGGAAAGTCCACTTTTTTCTGTGGTAAACCCCAAATAACTGTCTGTTCAGAACAAATGGTGCACAATGGCACTATGTGATGAAGAATCTGTGAAAGTATTAAATTTTATTCAGTGGTATAGGAGGAGGTTTGGATAAGAGATGGGAACCCCCTATATTACAGAAAGAATGGCAATGTCCTTTTTTTGTTATTGTAAACTCCAAATATCTGTCCAATCAGACCATAAGATAAAATATGCAGAATGGCACTAAGTAATGATTCTGTGAGTTTTATTAAATTTTACTCAGTGGTAAAGAGTTGCAGATGAGTACCTTCCTTATCATATAAATAATGGCAGTGTCTGTTTTGCTATGAGAAACCCCAAATATTTGTCTGATCATAACATGAAAAAGAACATGCACAATGGCACTATGTAATAAAGAATCTGTTAAAGGTGCATGGACACAGATTCAAAGTTAATATTTTCTCAAATTTTTGGTATAATATCAAGACTCATGTGTTTTTATAGCATTTCACATGGAAATAAAATTAAAAAACTTATTTTATCTGGTAATTATTGAAACTACAAATTTCAGGACGTGTTTGATTGACACATCTATGCATTTTCACAAAGTAAACTTTATCCTTAATACTTAAGAAAAGTAGAAATTTTGCTGTGCATTAATGAAAAATATTAAACTATAATCCAGAAAATAAAGAGTAGAAATGTGAGAAAGCAAAACCAACTCACCAGTATTGTCAGTCCGTGCTCAGTGATGTGTGCAGAGTTTAACAAATTGAACACACCCGTGAAAAGTAAACTGTTTTTGTAAACAGGGCATGAGCTCTGTTATTGTTAATGTTTACGTTTCACCGGGTGTGTTCAATTTGTTAAACTCTGCACACATCACTGAGCACGGACTGACAATACTGGTGAGTTGGTTCTGCTTTCTTACATTTCTACTCTGAATTTTCTGGATTATAGTTTGAATATATTTCATTAATATACAACAAAAATTTTACTTTATCTAAGGATAAAGTTTGCTTTATGAAAGTGCTAGGATATATCAATAAAACGCGTCCCGAAATTTGTAGTTTCAATAATTTCCAGATAAAATATGTTTTTTATTTTATTTCCGTTTGAAATGCTATAGCAACATATTAGTCATGATATTATACCGAAAACTTGAGAAAATATTTAACTTCAAATCTGTGTCCAAGCACCTTTAAAGTATCCTTAAATTTTAAGTGGTATAGGAGGAATTGCAGATAAGAGATGGGTACCTACAAATGTTATAGAAGAATGACTGTATCCATGTTTTGCTATGGTAAACCCAAATATCTTTGATTAAAATGTAAAATAGGAGGTGCACAATGGGACTATGTAATGAAGATTCTGTTAGAGTCTCATTAAATCCTATTCAGTGGTATAGGAAAAGTTTTGGATAAAAGATGGGTACCACCAAGTTTTACCGACCTAAGGATGGACACCCCCATTACTATATATCCCCCCTTTTCAAGTGGGGGTATAAAAAAATCTTGAAATACAAGCTGTTATTTTCCCTATATTAGGCTTAAAAGCTTTTGAAATGATTCCATCCTATTTCTTGATTATCTCCCTTGACAGGGAACTCTTCATCTAAATAAAGGGTTTTTTGTTGTTGCTAGTTTAGATGATACTGGACCTGTGTTTAAGAACAACAAAATATAGGAAAAGTTAACAGGGGGACATATAGAAGAATATTGTCAAACTCTGACTTACTTGTATATAATAAGACACTTCCAGTCAGATGACCATATAAAATGTTAATGTAAAATGAATAATACATGTACAATTTCTTTTAACATCATGCACGTACATATAGGAATCATAGATATGTAAATGCATGAGGTAAAAACCTTTAACCAGATTTTTTTGATTACAAGCTTCTTCCAGACATATACTGGCAGAGAACATTCCACTTTAAGTGCCTTCCAAAAAAGCAATACGATTTCTGACAGTGGTTTCACCATACTTTCTGAATAATTCATCCAAATGTCCATCAAGTTTTTCATCATCTTGTACATCCCATGTCAGTTTACCTACAAAATCACCAATACATTTTCATGACAACAACATATAGTCAAATATTTTCAATTTTCTAATATAAAGTATAAGATATATCATATTTCAAAAGGAATTACATATTTAAAAAGGATTTATCTCTGTGCAATAAAAGAAACCTGACACTGATCAGAATCGGAGGTTGAATCTTCTACTTAAATGTTACTGAACTTGAAATGATATCCCTGATGAGTGACTGTGTGGACTTTCAATAAAGCAGTAATACATGTATATAGGATATGTTACTGAGTAGGATTGCATGGGTGCCAAACTCACTCTGCCAATATTAGCGATCCAGACACACCTTTATTCACACTGTACATCTTTACTATTTTTAAAAAGCTGAAATCATGATTTTTTTTTAACTTGCAATGTACTTGTAAAGGAATGGCAAGTGATAAAGATTCCTGATGAAGTACCTGATTATATTAAAAAATGGTTTCAGTCTTAAAGGATTAACACACCTTATAAAAAAAATAATTAGAAGAAAAACAATGCTCATGTGAGCTACAATGTTTTCCCTTTGCAAAATGATAGACTTTGTAAGAAATGAGATTCCTTGTTGTGGCCCAAAAACATGTCAATGGTCAAATAAATGTAGATTGTTCATTGCATAGCTGAATACTGACAAATTAATGTAGTGTGTGCTTGATGAAGACCATGTATTCCTACAGTATTAAAACAAGAGGCCCATGGGCCTAGCACCAGAATCACCTTTGCCCTGCTGCCCCCCCCCCCCCCCCAAATTATTCCCATTTAAAATTTTGACCCCATATGAGGAGTGATCAAAAAGTTTTATGGACTGGTGCAATAAGATTCTCATCATGTTTTCATTTGATTTTTATTTTGACAATATACATTTGTATGCATTCGTCTGTCCAACCCTGTGCTACTTTAGAACTATAGATCTTCGTTCTCTGCTTGACCCAACATATTTAAATGTTTGAAATTTCCCAAGTTTCATACAAAACTGTATTTAATTGCGGGAATGCATTTTTCTCTCAGCATCATTTTTCCACTAAGAAATTTCAAGCATTTCAAAGAAAGTCACTGTAAAATTGTTGAAAATGCACTTCCTGAGAATGCTTGCATATACATGTAAACAAGACCAATTATAACCTTTAAAGTTTTTTAAAAAAAGATTTAAAAAGATTTTGTTTGCATATATTCCCATGTAAAACTTAGATCCCCTATTGTGGCTCCACCTCAACCACAGGGGCCTATGACTAGAACAACCTTGAATTTGCACTACCTGTGAATGCATATCAATATCATTTATTATGACCTTGCTGTTCTTGAGAAGAAATTATTTAAAGATATTTCCCTATATACTCCTATAAGAATAAGATCCCTAACCTACCCCTGAGGTCATGATTTGAACAAACTAAATATGCACTACCTGAAAATGCTTGCATGATCAATCACAACTCTGATGTTTTTGATGAGAAGATTTTATTTTTTTTTTATCTCTATATACAGTCAAACCTCATTTTCTCAAACTTGATGGGACCAAGAAGAAACTTCCAGATATTAGATATCTAAGGATTTGAGATATCGAGGTTATTATACATAAAGAAAAAGTGATTGGGACTTCCAAATCACTTTGACATATGCATGGTACTTGAGATATCAGTGTTCAAGATTCCAAATATCAACTGCACTCCAATGTTAATCTTTGATTCCAAATTGTTGCCCCACCCTACCCCCGGGGACCATGATTTGAACAAACTTGAATCTGCACTATCTAAGAATGCTTGATATTTAATGCTTAATACATGTATCATTAATTATTGCCTTTCTGTTCTTGAGAAGGTTTTAAAAGATTTATATAAATACTGATATATATATTTATATATATATTTTAATATAAATCTTTCATCCCTGAATGAGGCCCCATCCTAAACCCAGGGGCCATGATTTAAACAAAACTGAATCTGCACTACCTGAGAATGTTTGCATGTGAATATCACTAATCAAAGCCCTGCTGTTCTTTAGAAGATTTTTCCTACATATTCCTATGTTAAACTTTGATCTACTGTGACCCCACCTTACCTCTAGGGGCCATGATTTGAATAAACTTGAATCTATACTATATCAGGAAGCTTTCACATAATTTTCAACTTTTCTAACCCAGTGGTTCTTGAGAAGATGATTTTTTTTTAATCCCCCCCCCCCTCAAATTTGACTTTCCTTGATTATCTCCCCTTTCAATAGGGCATGGTCCTTTATTTAAAAAAAATATGAATCCTGTTCACCAAAGGATGTTTTGTTTGTGCCAAGTTTGGTTGAAATTGGTCCAGTGGTCAGTAAAAAGTAGTCAAAAATGTGAAAAAATTACAACGACGACAATGCTGACAGATAACAGACAAATTTTTTATCAAAAGAGCTCACTTGAGCTTGTGGCTCAGGAGAGCTAAGAAACGAGAAATTTACACAACTTTATAATATTTGCATATGAATATGATTAATTATGGCCTTGGTTCTTTTGAACAGAAAGATTTTTTTTTTTTTTTTTTTTTTTAAACAATTTTCCTATGCATTTCAACAAATCTAAACCTATACCACAGGCACTTGTTTCTGTTGTAATTTTTTACTCAACAGTAAATAATAACACAAAGTATGTAACTCTGAATTACAAGGAGTACAACCCCTCCCCAGAATTGCAAACATATACTCTTTCAGAGAAAATGTGATGGCAATTTTTATATATACCATATAAATCACATTTTAATCAATATACATAATATCCCTTGCACAGGATTGGACAACAGGCTTTCTCTTCAATCTCTTTTCATTATAAACTTCTCACCATTGCATTCCCCACTTGTCCTAAGCCATTCCAAGGTATCATTGACATCACCATTATTGATATAAATGATGTATTGAACCTGTGCTACTGTCAGCCGATATTCTTCACACAAGAACTGGAAAAAAAATTATATTCTTTAAAATATTGTAGATCACTAAACTTTCATGTCACCTTATTTTCGCGAGATGGTCATTTAGTATCTGAAAGTGAGACAAAATTTTCGTGAACTTTGGATATTGTCCTATATATTCTTTAGTAAAAGAAATATACGCCAGGAAGACTCATGTAATTACATGGAAATTAAGTTCTTGCAAATAAAAAGTTATTTACAGTAAGCAAAAAAAATGAAATGGATGGAAACAAGAGGCCCATGGGCCACAACGCTCACCTGAGTAACTTGGCCTTTTCACCTGATTTCCCCCCTTGTAGTACTTATTGTGGCCCCACCCTACCCCCGGGGGTCATGATTTGAACAATTAGAATCTACACTACCCCAGGATGCTTACACTTAAGTTTCAGCTTATCTGGCCCACTGATTCTTGAGAAGATTTTTATAGATTTTTCCTACATATTTCAATGTGAAAATTGGATTCCCTACTGTGGCCCGCCCTACTCCCAGAGGTCATGATTCGAACAATTTAGAATGTACACTACCCCAGAATGCTGCTACTTAAGTTTCAGCTTTTCTGGCCCAGTGGTTCTTGAGAAGAAGATTTTTAAAGATTTTTTCTACATATTTCAATGTAAAACTTGGATTCCCTATTGTGGCCCCACCCTAGCCCGGGGGTCATGATTTGAACAATTAAGAATCTACACTACCCCAGGATGCTTTCACATAAGTTTCAACCCTTCTGGCCCACTGATTCTTGAGAAGAAGATTTTTAAAGATTTTTCTGCATATTTCAATGTAAAACTTGGATTCCCTATTGTGGCCCTGCCCTACCCCAGGGGATCATGATTTGAACAATTTAGAATCTACACTACCCCAGAACGCTTCCACATAAGTTTCAGCTTTTCTGGCTCAGTGGTTCTTAATAAGATTTTTAAAGATTTTTACTACATATTTCAATGTAAGTATTGGATTCCCTATTGTGGCCCTGCCCTACTCCCGGGGGACATGATTTGAACTATTTAGAATCTACACTACCCCAGAATGCTTCCACATAAGTTTCAGCTATTCTGGCCAAGTGGTTCTTGAGAAGATTTTTTAATGACCCCACCCAATTTTTGTCTTTTCTTGATTATCTCCCCTTTGAAGGGGGCTTGGCCCTTTATTTTAATAATTTAAACTCCCCATCGCCCAAGAATGTTTGTACCAAGTTTGGTTAAAATTGGCCCAGTGGTTCTTGAGAAGAAGTTGAAAATGTGAAAAGTTTACAGACGGACAGACAGGCAGACGGAGGGACAGACGGACAACGGGTGATCAGAAAACTCTCTTGAGCTTTCAGCTCAGGTGAGCTAAAAATGTTCCCTTCCTTAAAGCAGCCAGCATCATGTATATCACTCTTCAATTTCCACATTGAATGAACAATTAAAATAAATTTCTCATTTTTTAAAAAATAAAATATGGTAGAGGGAAGTATAGTATTCAAAAGCATACTAAAATGAATTCTTTTATTTCAGCCTCATCTAAACTATTGTCTGTCACTGACTTCTCTAGTGCTACTTCTGAAAACAAAAACAAAATAAATCCTTACAAGTGGTCAGAACATTTCAAACATCAAAACAATGTTTTCAGCAACTTTTTGGAGGTCTGACAATATCTCACCATTATGGCTAAATATTAATGAGGTAAAACCATTTCTATTTCTGAAAACAGTTTAAGCACAGTCAAAAACCAGAAGTCTGACAACACTGTAGCTCTACTGGTGTGTACTTATAATAAAGAAAGATGTATCTTAGTATATTCTACTTGTGTAAAAAGACTAATAAGATCAAAACAGTAGGAGGAATAGCATTTTAAAAGAATTCAAAGAATTTTTTTATTTTTAGTTACCATGACAACATCGTTTGTCAAAATTAAAAAAAAATCAATTTATAGAATTATTTTTCTTAGTAGAATCTACTTGTGAACCAAGTCATTAAAACTGAACCAAAACTGTGGAAGAATTTCAAACAAATTTCTATTTTCACATGCCATGTTTCAGTTACCTCACTATATCCATATTTTGCTATATCCATATAACAAATTTCTTAAAGTATACATAGCAAATTCATGATATAGATTCCTTCATTCAAGTAGGACTACCAAATGTATTTCGGGAAGCATAAAATACAAAGTTTACCTTGCAGTTCAAAAAGTTTCACAGATGAATTGAGTTTCAAATATAAATACTTACAACATTAATGTCAGTTCAATATTAGAAAAATTCAGATCTTTAAAAATATGCTATAAAAGATGTAAATTTTGTTATTTTAAACTTCTAGGGGACACAAAATCAGTTTGCAATATCCATAAATTTGCTATATCTGAGTTTGTTATATCCATAAAATTTTACAAGGAATTATTAAGAATTTAGCCAGGGATTGCAAAAAATTTTGCTATATCTGTAAATTCGCTATATCTGTGTTTGTACTAAAGGAGTTTTACTGTATGTATCTTAGTAAAATCTACTTCTGTACCAAGTTTTATTGAAATTGGACCAAAACTAGTAGTGTTTTGAAAGAAATTCCTCTTCATGAGGAAATAAATATTTTGTTAATTAAGTTTCTCTTTGTATAACATGAGCCCTATATCAAGCAATGAACCCTTAAGATATTGATATACCTTTATCAATCTCTTCTTCATCATCTGTAAACACTGTCACATATGCTGTTCTACCTTCAAAAGATAATCATTTGAATTATTTATCACCAAATTTATTATTAATTAATGCTAATTAATCAATATCTATGATTAATATTATATCCTGCTCCTATTATAAATTGATATTTTGGTTTACGTGGATAAATTCATTTTTATTTTTGCATCTGCTTTTTCTAGGGTCTTGTAACAGGCATGTAATTCCATAAAAGGTATACAAAAAATGCAGAACTGACTTAAAATTAATAGCTGTATAGGTAAGACATGTCAAGTACTCCTTTCTTTGTTCATGATATATATCAATTTTTGATACCTTTGCATGTTTCAAAAAAAGTTTTAAGTAGCATCTACATTGATGTAAATTTCATAATCACACTTTATATAGTTTCTTCCATCCCTTTCGTTAATTTTTGAAGACTTTATAAAACATACACAATTAACTTACAGGACCTCTTTTTGGTTTTCTTAGATTTCTTTTCAGGAGTTTCTTCTGAAGATTTCAATTTTTTCGTAGATGTACTTATTTGTAATGGATCATTGGAAACATGTTTTTCAGTGGACAATTTAGATTTCCTCATCTTAGATGGTGTAGGAACTAATATATAAATAGAAATAAATAATCAATACATATATATTTTCTTTTGAGATTCCTATTAGATAATTGAAGATCAACCATCTGTACACATGGTACTGAATAAACCTTTAAACTATCTCATATTTATCTACCTATGTGAGAAGTTTGAATATCACAAAACAGAAAGGCACTCATAACCTAGTTAAATACAACAGCCAAACAATATCTTTCTCATCTACTAGGAGAATTGACAGATATGACCATTTCCAAAGAACAATTCGGTTTTGCTTTGAATTCCAGTCAACATTTCTATTCAAACTAGAAAACTGACCAGTCAGCAAGGGCCCCGCCGAGGGGTAGAAATATAAGGGTACAGCTTACAGAAAGAGAATTTTAATTGATTACAAAAATTAAAAAATATATGAAGAAGAATATGCAAAAACAACTGTATTTATAAAATTTCAAGATAATTCCTAAATATCCAACAAGCTGTAAAGAGTATCCCTGTATTTACATAAGGCAGTAAAAAAACATCATATCTATAATAACTCAATTAAATGTATATTTAAACAAGAACAAAGCATGTGTTTTATAAAATGCCAGCCTTCAGTGAATTAATGCAAATATCACCCAGGCTTGACCTTAACTTCAAAACAAACATCAGTTGCAGACAAAGGTTAATTTATCTTAAAGTGACAAAAAAAGAAAAGCTTGGAAAATTTTCTGCCCCAGACAAGATAATTAATCCCAGGGGATTAATTGTACTGCTCTCTCATCCTTTCCTTCCACGTTTACAATAAGAACTTTTTCAGTAATGATAGAATGAGTTTATTATCGGACTACCTGTTAAAATTAATAGTACATGTATTCTTGAATTTATATAAGGCAGCAAAAAAAAAAAAAAAATGAATCAATAAATAATAAAAAAAAAACATATCTTGATGTATATTTTGTCTTTAGAATTCAATAAAATCATAACTCATTGTGTATTTTACCAAAATAAAGTATGAACATTTTTTAAATCCACATTTCAGAGAATGTAAACATCATTCAGAATTGACCTTAACTTCAAAACAAACTTCATTTGCAGACAGAGGTGTTAATTAATCTCAATTGACAGAAACAGATAATGCTTTGGATTTTCTTCTAGAGGAAAGGTAATTAATCCCATGGGACTAGTTGCAGCTTTCATACTTTACAATAGGAACATTCTCAGTAGTTATCTCTCTTTACCCTGGCATTCATTCTAATGTAAAGTTAAGGAAACTACCCCACCACCCCAGCTCCAAACTAGATGACATAGAGAACCAAACTTAGCATCAAAATATGTCTTACTGCCTATTCAACCAACATACCAAATTTGAACTTAATTGGTCAACTACAAAAAAAGTTATTAGAAAAAAACAGAAAATTTGTGGACGGAAGAATGACAGATGGACAGACGGACAGACAGACGGACAGACAGACAGAGTGATAACTATAGGGCACCCGCAAATCCTTGCGGGGCCCTAAGTAAACTTTCTGTATTTGATGAGCCAAATGAGAGATTGAAATCAGTAAATGGACCATTTTTCAAATATGGCACAGTATTTTTTCTCACAATTAAACCACATGTACTTCTACATGTATGACGAAAAAAAATTGCCAATTTAGGTAGAAAAATATTTCTGATTTTTGAAAATCAAGATTCAACAAGCTATATGCTGCTCATGATCATGCAAAAATGTGAGAAAATACTATAAAACTGGCTATTAACTACCATTAAAACAAAACTATACATTGAAACTAAAGATGACTATAAGGACACAAAGAATACAAATTGTTAAATTTTCAAGCCAGGCTATCCCGATGTTTTTGAAAATCAAGGACTTTATAGTTGGTTGATTGAAAACTTCTTTTCCTCGTGAACAGCTAAAGGGGGGGGTGTAACTTTTGGAACTTCCTGTCCAAATATGACTCGAACAATTTTGTCAAAAATGTGCATACACATAGTAGATATAGTCATGTATAAAACATACTAAAATGACACAAATTTTTGGGGGGTGGGTGTGTTGTATATCCTTAAGTTTTTGTACCACTTAGCACTCTTAATTGTTACTACACAACCATATACTTTTATATTAACAAATACGTGTAAAATGCTCTCAATACATTACCCTCATCATCAGATGCTTGTGTAGAGGTCTTTGCCACACGCTTCATCAGTTCTTTATCAAAATCATCTTCCAGTTCATCATCATCGACTGAATCATCTAACCTATGAACATCTTTAGAATAGGGAGACTGAGTTTTGCTGGCTTTCTTTCGGGAGCCTCTCTTATATTTGGTTGAATCTCCATAAGAAGGCTTGAAAACACTACTTACTGATGTATTGTGTTCTTCTCTCTGAGAAGAGTTGAGTTTGTCCATCATCTGTCCTGGTGTTAATGTGACTCCTTCAGTGTTATACAAAGTCCTCTGGGATATTTTGTTGGTAGTTGGTGCATTTGATTGTTGATCAGGAGGATTGGACTGTAACTTGTGAGAAGTTGTCCTTTTTTGTTTGCTGTTAGCATTTGCTGCACTATCTGTGGTTGTATTTCCGTTGGTTTCTAATGATTTCTTTGGTTCATTGCTCTTGGTGGGGGATTTAGATGGTGTACCAACTGGAGGCTTTGTTTTACTAAGTCTCCCCTTTCCTCTTGTGATTCTATTATCTGGAGACTCATAATTTTCATCAAGAGACTTCTTTGATGGCAAACTTTCTTGTCTCTTCGCTGGCTCTGAACACTGTTTATCAATTTCACTTTCCTCATTTTCAGCAGTCTTCACAGTCTTTGACTTCTGAGGTGTGCTTATGTTTGAGGATTTTTGTTTGTCATTTTTTGATGCCTGGTTACTTGTAACGAAGTCCAGTTTCCTTTTCTTTCTATCATTATTCACAGGAATTGAATCACTCACATCACTTAAATCATCTGAACAGTCACTAAAATATTTGCTTTTTTGTGAACGGGTTGTCTTTTTGGGGCTCTTTGAATTTGATGCTGATTTGGAGGAGCCAACAGAACCTTTCTTATTTTGGTTGTCACCATCTGCCTGCTTGGCTGCTTTAGTGTCTTTTGGTGAACTGGCCTTTGATGGAGATTTTAAGGAAATCTCATCCTTCTTACCTTCAAAAGAAAATCATTCCAAATCAATAATAGAGAGTAATATGGTATTCAAGAGCTAACTGAAAACATTTCCATTGAGGGCTGAATGTTTAAAGAAATAGGCATCAGATAACAATGCTACCTCACAACAGTCATAAGAGATACGGTAAACTTTACCACCAAAATACTGCAAGATTCTGCTTACTTGGTGTCAAACAATAAATAATCAATCAAGTAATATCCCACACTAACATTCAAGTTTGTGCCATTTTCACACTGGAGCACTACTTTAATCAATTAATGCATTGTTTAGGTACAAACTTACACAGACATACAATGTATATTTATTTCAATTATTTATGTATTTTTGGTGAGGTGTTTTATTTTCCTTTTAAAAAGTTCAATTTTTCATTTTTAAACATTTTTCAGTCTGACTCAACAGTTTGCTAAAGTACAATAACTTATCACTATCCATCAATGGATGCTTAATTGTTCAGTATAAATAGTGTACTACACATCTGATGAAGTGTCATTGATACGGATACCATTTTGAATTTGGAATGGGCCCGATCAGCAGACCCAATTTTAGACAACCAACATCTCTGCTTTACTATTAAATATTAAATGTGTGGGTTATAATTTTAATGCATAATGTAATTGTCAACGCATCACACATCATCACATGATTTTAACCAGTGAAAGAATTTGAGGATTCCTCATCCTCAGGGGTACCACACTTGCCTACTAGAAATGTATTGGTGGATATCACCCATTATTGGTCATTAAGCCCTTGAAAGTCAATATTAAACTTTCTCTCTCTTCTTAAGCATTATAAATGAAGTTGTATGTCCATGTGCAGGGGCGTAGCTTCCATTGTGGCAATGAGGCAACTGTCTCACTAGATTTTTAACCACCACCACTCCCTTCCATAGTTAATACATTGCAGAAAATATCTAACTTGTAAAAATTATAATTTAAGCAATTCTATAATGTACGCTCATATCATCAAGGTTCGGGCTCTACCTCCATTACTGAAAACTCCAAGTAGGTAATGATTGGAAAATATTAAAAACTGATAAATGTTTGACAATTATAGTTTTCACTAAATAAAAACAGTTAAATAAAACATGTATTCATCTTAAAATGTGTTAAAAGTTTTAGTAAACCATGTTAAAAATATTTAGCAACTCTTTTACCATTGTCGGAAACCTGTGGTCGGTCTAGGTTCTCTTACCTTGAGGGTTTCTGACGATGCTCTTTTAAATACTTTAATAATATGTGATATCATATCCATGCTATGAAACCGGTAAAATTAACTAAAATTCTGTGAAGGACAAGTATGATATTTGCATTCTAAAACCCCCAAATCCATTTTCAGTCTGGAGGAGTGTGGGGTGCTCCCCCTCTACCCCCTCCCCACCATGGCTCTGCCCTGGACCTGCTTGAGGCCTAAGGCGGCCCCCATACCCCCTGTCCCTATGGTTTTGCCTCACTAGAATTTGAAGTCAAGCTATGCCCCTGATGTGGCATCGTATTTGAATGACTGACAGTTTATTGCTTAAGAAAAATTACCGTCCCCTGGTTTGCTGAACAGAGTAGTGTGTCTAAAAGTATAATTCCTACTCACTATTTATCAGGTTAGGCCTTCTTCGTTCTGTTGAGGAATCAGTATCATCAGATGTCACTATAAAATATCACATAATTTATTATAAAGCCACAGTTTTTTTTTTAATTTCTTGGATTATGCACTGACCCTAATTTCCAGAGAAATAGGAAAAAATTTAAAAAATACAATGCAAATTTCTGAATTTTTTTTTTTTTTTTTACAGATTCTATTTTACTTGCCAAACAGAAAATGAAAATAAAACTATTCTTTTTTTTTTTTTTTTTTTTACAAAGCAAACTTATTGGTCAATATTTGGTAATCATTTTTTGTTTTGCAAATGGTACATTCTTAATATATATATTTTTTAAACAAGTCATGTAAACAACAATGGCCGTGAATTATGGCTATTGATTATATAATTCTTGTAGATAAAAATTTTGATTAAAAAAAATCTGTATTCCATGAAATAAAAAAAAATTGGCTTTTGGCCATTTATAAAATATAAACCTCCATTTTAAGGCTATATAGTATGGCCCTGTTTACCCTGTAACATATTATTTCCTACAATTCTGTCCTTTATTTGAGATAACAATCAATATTATTAACTTAATTTTCTGTGGAAATTAGTTTAAATTTTAGCTATCGGTATTTTTTTTCAACTGGAAGTGCAAAGAGAACTTTATAATCAAGAAATAATTAGATAACTGACAAAGCCAATAGGATCCTGCAGTGTGCTTAAGTCAATAATATTGAACGTTCATCCTTGACCTATCTTTTATTGACCTTAAAATACACTGGTGTCTCTAAAATTGAATATAAAATGAAATACATGTTGTATACTACATTTTTGTGCTGCACAAAATCTTTCTCGTTTTACAGGTTTCAGAATGTTTATCATATAACAGTGCTCATATCAATAATGTAATCTTTTGACCTTGACCTTTAATTACTGTGGAATCATTTTAATTCATGGGGGTCAAATGATCATGGAAAAGCATAATTTTAATTGTTCGTGGGGACATAATATTGTGAGTGAATGAATTATGCGGTAGATTCAATTAATCATGTGTTTACAAAATAAACGTTCATGGGGTTGTAAATCCGTGGGTAAATTCATGAACATTGGTCCCCCACGAACAATGATGATTCCACAGTACGTGACTTATTCTCCACCCATGTAGATTATATATGTATGTTTGAAGTCTTTAAGTCAAAAAAAAAAAATGCATGAAGTTTGGCACATCACATAAATGCCAAATGTTCATAGCAATAATCTTAACTTTTGACCTTTATCTTTGGCCAAGTTCTACTGAAAAATGTCTCCATTTATCTATGTAGTAAATATGCTTAGTTATTGCACCATATAAAAGTGTTGACAGACAGGCGGACAGACAGGCAGATAGACAGACACAGTGATTATTAAAGGACAACTGCATCTTGATTCAGGGCCCTAATGAGGAGACATAAATACATTACCCATATAGTCTAGATTCAGTTTCTTCTTGTGGGTAACTGGGATGGTATATAAATTAAGATTGTATTTGATTGTTTTCCTGTAACGAGTATTCATGGAGGAGGCAGAATGCTTTGTTATCTACAAGAAAATGAATAGAAAAATCGTATGTAGTTTCCATATTCATAGATTGTAACTCATGAAAGAAAACAAATTGCCCAACTTTAACTTTTCTCCAATTGCATACAAGACATTTTTTTTCTCCAATTGCATACAAGACATTTGTTCTACAGTTGTATTTTGTAAATTCTAATAATATGTCCATATGACATGAATCATAAGTACATGTAATGCAAAATGAAAAGAAATGTACTTTGCTTCTTTGTTTATGATTTTGGTAAATAAAGAATATACTGAGGTTAAGGTCAAGGGAACGATAAGGTCAGAAAATCATGACATAGTTGAATAGTTCACCAATTTGTGTTAGTGTATAAAGTTTGATGAAAATATCTTGAAAGTTTCTTTAAAACTGAGTTTTAAACACAATAAACAGTAAAGACAAAGGTCATACGGAAGGTCAAGGTTAAAAAATATTGGATACACTTGACAAGTTCTCACATATATGTACGAGGGTCGTTCAATAAATAATGCTACTAACGGTATATCATAGTAAATAAAGATCTATATAATTTTATTTTTTCACAGTTACAACATTCAATTAAAGAGCTCCTAATCACAGAAAACCCCATGATTTTACCTTTTGTCCTCACAAAGAAATTCACTTTTAAAGTAAGCTTGGTCACTACACTGAGCTGAAAATTGTTTAAAATGATCTCTGTCAAGAAAATGAAAATGAGAGTGTATGTGAAAATTGTGCTTCTTTACAAAAATCGCCAAAGAACTCATTTTAAAGATATGATTTTTATATATGGAAAGAATAGTCTTTAACGCTGTATAGTTTTCAGATTGATTCAGAAACTCAAAAGTAAAAAAAGAGAATTAAAATATAAAAGTCAAACTGGTCGATAGAAATTTTTAGGGAACCAAAAATTATCGATGCAATGTGCAACATGATATCTGAAAATGTCAGATTTACATCCAAAAACATTGCTAGAACACTAAGCATTTCATTGTCATAACAAGTTATAGAATTCTGACAGTGGAAACTAGAAATCTGACCAGTCAGCAAGGGCCCCGCCAAGGGGTAGAAATATAAGGGTGCAGATTAGGGGATGAGAATTTTACTTGATTACAAAAATTTTAAAATATATAAAGAAGAATAAGCAACAGCAACTGCTAAATATCCAACAACCTGTAAATAGTATCCTTGTATTTACATAAGGCAGTAAAAAACATCACATCTATAATAACTCAATTAAATGTATATTTAAAGAAGAATGAACCATGTGTTTTTTAAAATACCAGCCTTCAGTGAATGCAAATATCACCCAGGCTTGACCTTAACTTCAAAACAAACATCAGTTGCAGACACAGGTGTTAATCAATCTTAAAGTGACGGAAAGATAACCCTGTAAAACTTTCTGCAACCAGCAAGATAATCAAACCCAGGGGATTAATTATACTGCTCTCTCAACCTTTTCTTCTAAGTTTACAATAAGAACTTTTTCAGCAATGATAGAATGAGGTTATTATCTGAATACCTGTTAAAATAAATAGTATGCTTGAATTTACGTAAGGTAGGAAAAAAAGAAAGAAAAAAAATTAAATAATAATAAAAAAGATATCTTTATCTATATCTTGCTTTTTAGAATTCAATAAAATCATAACTCATTGTGTATTTTACCAAAATAAAGTATGAACATTATTTAAATCCAAATTTCAGAGAATGTAAACATCATTCAGAATTGACCTTAACTTCAAAACAAACTTCATTTGCAGACAGAGGTGTTAATTAATCTCAATGTAGCAGATAAAGATAAATGCTTTGGATTTTCTTCAAGAGGAAAGTTAATTAATACCAAGAGACTCATTGCAGCCTTTCCTAGTTTACAATAGGAACATTCTCAGCAGTTATCTCTCTTTGCCCATTCACTCTTATATAAAGTTAAGGAAGCTACCCCACCACCCCAGCTCCAAACTGGATGACAAAGAGAACCAAACTTAGCATCAAAATATGTCTTACTGCCTATTCAAGCAACATACAAAATTTGAAGTTAATTGGTCAACCCTAAAAAAAGTTATTAGAAAAAAACAGAAAATTTGTGGATGGAAGAATGACAGATGGACAGACAGACGGATGGACAGACAGACAGACAGTGATTACTATAGGGCATCTGCAAATCCTTGCAGGGCCCTAATGAATATACATGTAATAATATTTCTATCAGATATATGCTATATTTTCTTAAAATTGTCTATGAGAAAAATGCGCATTAAATGTGCCAACGGTCTACTTAAAAACAAATATTTTAACAAAAAAAGATTTGTTAAATTTGCATGATGGATGATGAAACATGGGTGCACTTTTTATAGCCAAAAAGGAAGATCAATAATAAAATGTGGAATCAAAGAAAAAGTTATTGTTTATACTATTGTAAAGAGAAACAAGGGCTCCAAGCATGTTTTATTAGTTTTCATTTTTTTTGAAGAGGTCCAGTAAAACATGTAGATTTACCCAAAGGTAGGACCATCAATGGTAACTTTTATGTTCAAACTGCACTGCTCGAGGAAAGATAAACAGATTTCCTGCAAAGAAAGTCCAAATACCGCCCCAGGGTAATTTTTTTGCACCTGGCAACTCTGCTGCAAAAAAGCACAGAGAAATAAATGAAATTCTGAAGAAAAGAAAGTTTACAGGGCTTTGCCATCTCCCATATTCGCTAGATCTCAGCAATTGTGAGATCTTTTTATTCTAAAAATGGATGAAAACGATCAAAGGAAAATTGTACAATATTAGATATGTCATGGAAAATGATATTCAGCAGTGTCTTTGGGGCATCCCTAAAGATGGGTATGCTGAGGTTTTCTGGTCATGGGTACAAAGAATCAAGACGTGTAAAGAATAACAGGGAATGCTTTGAGAGATTGAAAATGTTTAGTATATGCATTACGCACTTTTCTTACTTTTAGACGACTTATTGCATTATTTATTGAACGACCCTCGCATCAGTGCATGTGTTTATATAAATAATGTTAAAAAATGTTAAAATTGTGATATCAACCTAGCAAAAACTGTTTCAAAACACATATTCAATTCATTGATAATCAATATGACCTTAATTCCAGGACATACTGGAAAGCTTGGTTTATACTTTAGACACATGACAATGGAAGGGGGTGGATCCAGAAGTGGGGGGGGGGGGGGGGAAGGCACACACACACAAACTTATGAGGGATCAGAAAAAGAGTTCATAAAAATATTACTGAATAGTAAGTCCTTCAGTCCTTTGCATACATCTCCCTAAGATGTTAATGCAAATAAAGTTGGTGTAACTGGGGTGGTGTGGTGTGTGTGTGTTTGTGAAAACTGCCAAAAAAATTATGTGGTGGACCCTCCCTTTCACAAATTCCTAGATCCACCTATGCAGTAAATTTTCCTTGATGGATGATCAATTCTTTTTACCTGTAAATCTTCCATTTCCTTCCATATGGTGTTTCCTGCCACTTTTTCATGGTAATCATTGCTTATAATGTAGTTAAGTATTGCCATGTCATCAGCATATGTGTACATCTTCCTCCTGTTTCGCATATTTTAAATATAAAATATGTATTCTTATATATGCTCATCCATATATATGTGTTACAGGAAGTGAATATGCACTACATACGTAGATATACCTGAATGTCTGTGATTAGTTTATTACACACTGTGTTATCATTTATTAACCAGAAGTCTCTGACGAGACCGTAGCTCTACTGGTTTGTACTTATAACAAAAGGAAGAGAAAAGTAGCACTTGGACTTGAAACTTTGCAACAGCAATTTATTTAATGATGATCCTTGCCCCTTGGTTTAGTCTCTTTTTGTGGAAAGATTTATTGCAATCAGAATAAAACTGTAGGTGGAGTTGCATTTAAAATGAATTTTACAGAAATTTCAATTCTAATAACCATGGCAAGATCATTCATCAAAATAAAAAAAAACCGATAAAGACAATTATGTATCTCAGTGTAGCCTACTTGTGTGCCAAATTATAATAAAATCAAGCCAAACTGTAGGAGGACAGTGTGCGAAATTAACGCCTGTCTGATGGTCCGAATCTATCTCAAGTTAAACTGGGCTACACTGATCTGAATTAAAATAGACCGAATTGTCTATCCCAATTTCGGCCATGGGTAAATTGAGATTAAATAAAAAATTTCAACATGTAATTAAAAACAAAATGATTCTGAGAAATAGTTTTATACATTTATATTTTGTGTTAAAAGAATTATTGTTAAATCTCATCATTCAGAACATTGTGTATCTTTCGACAATTGAACGGTGTACTATTTTGATCTAATGCTCGCTTCCTGTTGTGCATCTGTCATGCAGGAAATCCTGACCGCTGGTTGCTAGAAGCATGACATTAAACACAATGTGAGTAAAAAAATAACTCCAAAAAAAAAGTCCAAAAAAGGGAAAGCTATGAAGATGATTTTGGAGTTTGTGTCTTTCACAAACATAAACTGGTCTACAGAATGAAGTTCATATACAACGAATCTGAATATATACACGGTACAGATTTTTGTGACAGGGATAGACATTAACTTTCAGATTCAAACTTTGATTTGTCTGAATGCAAAACTTGGTTGCCCAAAATTTAGAAAGAAGAGAACTGGTATCTTAATTTATTATTGTAAATAAAGTGAGATATTACTTTATATTTGGTATATAAGTTAAGTGCCAGAAAAAATTTGATCTGCTGCTCATGCTTCATTTTAAATATATGTAAATTCACACTGCCATGCAGCAATATTTCCTTAAAAATAAAATTCATATTTTTGAAAATTATTTTTTGTGCGATCTTTTTGTGAATTTTGATCCCCCCCCCCCTTGAAAAACTGAAGCAATGCTAAAGGAAAATAGTTGCCATGTTTCGAAACATACAAGTCCTGATCAGAATACATCGTGTGCCAAGAATAACTGGTGTTCTTTATATTCTGTGAGTTAATAAATAACCTATTTTATAATATCTTATTTCATAAGAATGTAAAGAAAGCTGTCAGTCGGAAAGTGTATTTTTTTCAACTAGCTACCATGAAAGAAAAATGGAATAATGAACCCGTTTTTTTTTTTTTATAATCGGTATGATCTAGGAATTTCCGAATGCAAAAACAATGTCATATTCCTGGTAGAAATCAAATGTACAATTTATTGTTTTGTTTATAAACTAATGTAAGATAAAAAAAAAATCTATCAGAAATATTCACTTGCCTGATCGGACAAGTACATCCGAAGTTTCACTTGCCCGAACTGAGAATTTACTTGCCCCGGGCAATCGGACAACCATTAATGTCGATCCCTGTATGATAAGCATTAAGCACTGACACTGATTTTATACTTTATTTTCACAAGGTAATAATGAAAATGTAACAGATACATGTACTTCAATATTATGAATATGAAAAAATAAAAAAAATATATATGAATAAAAACAAGTGTACATTTTTCGTCTTTACTTTTTCGTGTTTTTGTGGACAGTCCCATTTGTCTACAATCTATCCCACTTTAAAATGAGACAGCCCAATGGGCTATTTCATTCTCCTGTTTAGTTTTGCACACTGGGAGGAGTAGTGTTTTGAAAGTTTCACAGAAACTTCTAGTTTTAGTAACCATGACAACACCATTCATTGAAATCAAAAACTGATATACAGAATTATGTATCTTGGTGTGGTCTACTTGTTTGCCAAGTAATATTGAAATCAGACCAGGAGCAGCGTTTTGAAAATTTCATAGAAATTTCTAACCATGGCAACGTTAACACTGTTTATCGAAATCATAAACCAATTTACAGAATTATGTATCTCAGTGTAGTCTACTTGTCATATTGAAATCAGACCTAAACTGTACAAGGAGTAGCATTTTGAAAAATTGTTAACAGACAGACAGCTAGACGGACGGACGATGGACACCTTACTATTGCATAAGCTTTTCTGGCCTCTGACCAATAGAGCTAAAAATGAACACTTTTATTTTTTTGGACATGAGCAAGAAATGCATGTAAAATTGTGAGATTTTCTGGGACAACGTTCTAAGATTTCATTTTTATACCCTTGAAAGTATTTCATGCTTGCTCTTATTCTTTGTGGTTCATCTTCATCAAATGAGATATCACTGACTTGATCTTCACTTGCATCCCGGATAACCATCTTCCGTGGCTGCAACCTGAAATCCACAATTTACAGTCATATCAACATTTAATTCATACAGATGTCAAATGAGCACAATATCTTTTCGTGTATTGTTTTATTTCACATACATTATACAAAGTGCAGTATTTTTCTGTGTGTAATTCATGTCATACATTTATTAGACATAAGTATTTTCCCATTTTTTCATTACCTAAACACAACGAAAATCATGCACTTAGCACAAACTTCCCCCTTAGATTAATTATCTTTTTTTTCCGTATCACTTACCATTACATAATATTAAGATATGACATCAATTTCAAATTTCTCAGAAAACATGTGAGTTTTTTTTTTTACAAAGAGCTTAATTTTCTTATCATTCACTACTGAAACTTCACCCCTTCCAAGAAAATACTTGTAGATAAAGTTTTCCATAATTCAAAACTTATGGAATTATACATAATAGAACTTAGACAATCTAAATATATATAAAGAATACTATTCTGTACCTATACTTTTCTTTGTCAAGCATCTTGTTAGCTTTCACACAATCCTCAATGTACCTCACCGAGTAATAATCATCCGAGACCAAGTAATCATCATCATTGGCAAGTCTGTCAACATAAAACACTGAGATTAGTGTGCACTGATTAACAACAGCTTATAAAATAGTCATAAATTCATACTTAGCTTTACCTGCATGTACATGTAGTTTGTTATTCAGTACATGCTATTTTTAAGAATCCTTAAAGTATTAACACTAATTTAAGACAACATTAAAATCATACACTTGTTTACCACAACTACGGTAATCTCTAAAGGCACTCCAACTCAAGAATTGTTAAAGACATCTTTATGAATCTTTGATACTTGCAAAAGACTCCAAGTATGTCCATATAATGGCCTGAATAGCACAATTCAAAGTGGTCTACACTTGCATTGCAAAATCATGAGACTATAGGTAATAGATTAATTCAATGTAATAAAATCTATGTATGATTACTGAAAAAATGGCACAGTACCATGTATGAATATGTACATGAAATTGCTTAAAAAGTATGAACTATAGACAAGGTATTCTCAAGTTTTAAATTTCAATCTCCTTAGTTGAAATGAGTACTTATATTTCCTTAAACAAAGAATCTAAACCGAAACATTTGCTGCAAATCATGTAAATCTTGAAAGTCAAACAAATGAAACCAATATACAGTAAAACTTGGTTAAAGCGAAGTCCTGGGGAAATTACTTCGCTATATCCGTAATTCATTATATCCATATAAGGAATTCATTAAATTTATATAGCTGGGGATCCAAGAAAACTTTGCTATATCTGTGAATAGTGTTCGTACTGAACAAGTTTAACTGTATAAAACATGATAATCAAAATGCTGTATGCAAATTTATCTACGATATTTGATAGGTCAGCAACTATGGATGTTAACACATGAGCAATTATTGATTTCAAGGTCAAAGGTCTGAGTGAACTCCAATTGTGATTAAACATTTGCACAGGTTAATGGTACCTTACCTTGCCTTGGTGAATGGGAAGATTTAAAAAAATATATATATTAGCTTTCAAGATATCCCTGAACAATTTTCTGTTTAAAGAAATAATTCCAGAATACAACCCTCCCCCCCTTTCAATAAAAAAAAAATCATTGTACAGGGTGAGGATGGAGAGGGGGATTAGTTATGTTAAATCCAGGTTTTGAAATGTTTATACTTATAGAGATGTTATTCAAATTTGGAATGCTCACAAACTGTTTTTGAGAGTTTTATTGGAGTTGAATACATTACTTGATTGCATTTAAGGCCATTCTTGCTGTAACTCTCCCACCATGTTCCTAAATGGAGAAATACATATTCAAATCATACATGTATTTAAAATGTATTTAAAATTCTAACATCAGGTACCAATGTTAACGTAATAAAGTCAATAAGAAATATTTATATATCATATCCATGAATTAACTTGTCAACTAACCAAGTTTCAATTTTATCAAATATCATATGTAAGAATATTATAAGCAATAAAGACTCTGTTTGAAGGTACAATACTGCAGTACATGTCCCATATCTGTGCTCAATATTTTTTTGTTCTAGATATCTTGCAGACAGTCCAATGGATAGACAGACAATTGAAAACATAACATCCTCCAGCAATTTCTTTCTATCCACTGGGAATAGTTCTGGTACCAATTCAATTTGGGAAAATGGTATCAATATAGAACAAAAGGGAATTTTCTGTCCTATAAAAAATATGACATTTATGTTACATTTATTCTGTATTTTCAAACCTCATTAACTATTACTCCCCAATTTAAAGAATACACAAGAAGTATTCATTGTTTTTCTTTATTAATGTCTCTTGTTCTCTCACATTTTCGTGCTTTCAAGTACTGTCAATAATGTCAGTCACTAAGCTGTCTACAACACATGTCTTGCCATTATCTCATTATATCAGATCTCAACAGCTCAGTGGTTAGAGTGCTGGCACGATACACCCGAGGCCCTGGGTTCGAGTCCCGGTTGAGACTTGATTGTTCACTACCTGTGACATGTAAGACTTTGAAAATACTTACACATTTTATTATGGTGTACTTCACTTTACTTGTCATCATGATACGAGCTCAGCTCAATAAATTCCATCCACAAGAGATTGTGACTTGTGAACTGAAGTTGATCATTTAGGGTACATCATACTGGGGCTCCCCACATTGAAAATTTTTGCTAGAGAATATTCCTTGTAGGTTTGGGGCACAGACAAAAGCCAGAATGAAGAAGAGAACAATGTGAATAGAATATTCTATCGTTGAAATTATGATGTACTAAGGACTCTGTTTAACTAATGAGGGCCTGTTTCAACAGTTCAACAAGACGATTGAGAACAATGTAGATCAAGAAATGGTTAAGGAGGGAGGAATGTAATGGTGTGGGCCGTGGATATTGGCCTGGGTAGCTCAGTCGGTAGAGCATCTGACTAGTAATGCAGCGGTCCTGACATATATTTTCTCCTTTCCTATTACATTAGTAATCAACTGGAAAGTGAATGTGACACTGAGAAATACATGTATATGCAATGTATATACCTCTATTATTGGCTGCACTTTACTTCTAGCCGCACACGGGCGAAAGAAAAATATAACAGGATTTCCTTTATCGTCTTCGAAAACGTCTGCCCTATTTAGCGCCATTTCCTTTTTAGGTATCACACCGGTAATTGACCAATCAAAATGAACTTAGTCAATTGTAGTTCCATACATATAAAATTAATTTTTCTTTCTTTTGATAATTTTTTTAATTTTCTTCCAGGCTATTTTTACAACTTTGGTACCTGTGCCTAGTAAATTTAATGTACTTTGTAAATAAATACAGTTTTTTGACAGGAACTATTTTTTTCAGGGCATAGGAGGCTACTTCCTGGGGTGCACTGGAGCTGTTTATAAACACATTGAAAACACGTGGATTTGAGGGTAGCCCTGTTTGCAGATGGAAAAAATCAGAAAATGCCGTGTAGGTACCCTGTTTTTTGGACTCGGCTAATGAGAGAGGTAATGTTTTATACTTCCTGCTAAATATTTTTTCATGAATTAATTTACCTGATTTTTTAAGAATTTTTTTCCTATATAGAAACATATAGTGAAAACAATTACCGGTGTGATACCTTGAAGGAGATTGTGTAAAATCATCTGCATCAATATAAAAGGTTGTTTTAATTTTTAAAAGGCATATTTCAACAAAATATGTCATTTTATGAACTTTCTGTGTGAAAGCACATATTTTAAAAATTAGAAGTAGGGTTGAATTGAATTTTTAGAGATTTCTGTGAAAAATACTTATAATATATCATGTTTTACCCTCAAAACTTTAAATTATGACTTTCAAAGTAGGATTATGCATCTGACATGTAGAAAGAAGTTAGAAAATGTTGGTTTTTTATTTTAGATGACTTTAAACTATGTGCACCACCTGACCGCAGTCAATTATAGTGTCTACAGACTTTGCCGTAAAAGTACTCTAGGCTGATTTTTTCAAGAAAAGACTAATTCTGGGTTTGCCAATGAGTTTTCCACAAAAGTGACAACTGCGATAAAATGTGAAGAAGTAAAACATTTTTTCACAGAGTGATAAATTTTACAGAGAGTGGATTTACTTTCATTTTATTCACCTGAAGTGATGCATGTATTACAGCAGTGGAGGAATATAAATAATGAAATGAGGTAAATTTGTCTAATAAAAAAAATGCACAAGTAAAATTTATTTAGAATTTTTCAAAAATAAGAAGCTTATGACCAAAAAATGCATAAATACTGTCAGGGCATGAGAGTGAATACTTATTCAGAGTTCTAATCATGTAGCACACATGTAGTACAGAATGTCACTTAGCACCATGGTATGCCTGTTATGGTTCTCTGGACTTTTTGCATGCTTACGCAGCTGACATCCATGATTTTTCAGTTTGTCGGAGAATGTGTTTTGTCATGTTAGCACTTTTATGTAGGTTTTGACCCTCTCTTTTAAATTAAATCTCAGTCAGGATGCTTATTTCAGCATGATTTGTTAAGCATATTAATATACTGAAATATTAATAAATTACAAATTAAAGTGATGAAGAAATTTGACATATTTACACAATCAAAATATCAGAATAACCATAATTCAGCTAATAAAGTGTCCTGTTTTTCTTATGTCACTTCCTATAAATTTTATCAGCAGTTTTTGTACACCCACCCACCCCCAAGAACCATGTAGGATGGCCTGATATTAGTCTTTTTGTTGCATTTTTTCACATTTGAAAGTGTTAAAACTCATAAAAATGTTTAAGATTTATATTTTGGAATTTAAATGTTGAATTTTTATGTAAATTTGGTGAAACAAAAAGCTGTAATCTTGAATTAATCATGCAAATTCATCAAACACCTTTGGAATTCCTGAGTAATTCAATGAAAAGAGGATAATTATGCATGTTCAATTGGAATTTCATGGCTAATTTGTGTCTGCAGAGAAAGCCAGTTACATAAATCCAAACAATAAATTACATCTGAATTGTTTCCTCCATTTTCTTATCATCAAAGCAAGTTTAATGGAGTGTCAGAGCTGTCCAGATTCTCCCTAGGTGCTGATATCATTTGGACTGCCCTGTGTTACAACACAGCTTTTAGATAAACTTCTGCACATCAGCTTGTAGACAAGTACCTAGGCTTTATTTGGAACATAAATTGACCAGATGCAGATTTTATTATCAGTCTAATATTTAACAATTTCTGTGAATTCTGTCATTCTTAGGAGGGCAAAATGCAATTTTGTTATGTAATAATTGCATAATGGTCTCAGACTTGTGAACTATTTTTTGTTTGTTGTGAAGAACAATGTATATACTCTCCACGGATAAGAAATTGTTTGCCAGACTTAGTCTATTAATGATGAAATTCTGCTTCAAAATATGCACAAAAAAACTTCTGTCAGAGTGCTCTGTGTGTATTCTTGACTGCTCTGGAGTAAGGGAGATAAATGCATATATCTCCAGCAATAAGGGGAATTAGATCACCAAACTTAAGGATGTTGGTGGCAGTTATTTAAGAAATCTCAGGTGCAAAAATGAAAAAAATCTGACAACTTCAAGGGTCCTTCAAGGTATCACACCGGTAATTGACCAATCAAAATGAACTTAGTCAATTGTAGTTCCATACATATAAAATTAATTTTTCTTTCTTTTGATAATTTTTTTAATTTTCTTCCAGGCTATTTTTACAACTTTGGTACCTGTGCCTAGTAAATTTAATGTACTTTGTAAATAAATACAGTTTTTTGACAGGAACTATTTTTTTCAGGGCATAGGAGGCTACTTCCTGGGGTGCACTGGAGCTGTTTATAAACACATTGAAAACACGTGGATTTGAGGGTAGCCCTGTTTGCAGATGGAAAAAATCAGAAAATGCCGTGTAGGTACCCTGTTTTTTGGACTCGGCTAATGAGAGAGGTAATGTTTTATACTTCCTGCTAAATATTTTTTCATGAATTAATTTACCTGATTTTTTAAGAATTTTTTTCCTATATAGAAACATATAGTGAAAACAATTACCGGTGTGATACCTTTTAATTTTTCCCTTACATCAAGGTCAACTATAATCAATATTTTGATATTCTTTTTCGCCTTCTCCGTAAAACGCTGATGAGACTATGAATGAAAGCGGTGGTTCCTTAAATAGATATTCAATCTTTTCGCTCCAGATACGTTTCTGTGCAAGTCTGCATCTTCATACTAGTAAATTACCAAATAATTAAAAAAATAAAGTCTTTTGTTCCCTCTAGAAAATTTCTTTGCAGGAATATTGCTTTCTCTGAGACCCATTGGGATGGGGACATGCGCAGATCTAGAGGGGGTCTGTAGGGGGGGGGGGTCCGGACCCCACCCCTAGAATTTGCAGTTATCAAAAGTATATACTGAAGCTTTGGACCCCCCCCCCCCCCCGGAAAACGTGGATCACCACGAAATAGGTGTTTTTCACGTTGTGAAATGGAATTTACCTTTTTGTTTTGTTTTTGTTTGGTTGGTTGTTTGATTTGTTTTTTGTTTTTGTTTTTTTTTGTTCGTTTGTTTGTTTGTTTGTTTTTGTCAAAAAATTTTCTGGATCTTAATACGTTCAGGAAGAGAATTTAGTGGGGGGTTTTTTTCCTATCAAAAAATTTTTGGGTTGGAAATTTTTTTGACTGTGGCGGATCCCCCATGGAAAAAAAATCCTGGTTTCGCGCCTATGGGGTTGGGGTTAACTTCAGCACATACACGTAGGATAATTAGAACCCTCTATAAGAAATTTTTAAAACTGTTTAAACGCTATTTTTTTTAACTTTGAGGAAAGTGTATTGTATAAAGGTGAAGATACTGAGTTTACTTCATATTCAACATAGGGTTCCAGCCGTTAATTTATACCACCAGGAAAAAGACAACAGGGCGGATCCAGGAATAGAAATTAGGGGGGGCCAGCTGATTAAGCAGCGGTCTGGACCACTTTGAGGCCCCCGGTGCATCCAGAGAAAACATTTGGTGAGGGCCCAGTGGCACAAAACCCACAGGGGTCTGGACCACTTTGAGGCCCCCAGTGCACCTAGAGATCGAGAACATTTGGTGAGGGCTCAGTGCCAGAGTAAAACCCCCGTAACTCCTGGATTCAATTTTAAATATTTTATAGAGCAAGACTGATCAAGCCACTAAACAATGATGTACTGGTGAAGAAATCATGATAAAATTATTCCCTATGGAGTTTTTGCATGTAGATTTGATCAAACTAAGTTAATGTCGTATTTGAATCATGTGTTTGTCGTCGCATTATGGAAATGTCACAGGCATCTGTAGATACATGTACCAAAAAGGGTCTCTAAATGCGCCGTAACACTTTGCACTTTCATGTTAATTGAAAAGCTTAACAGTTCGATTTATTCATACACTTCCCCAAATCAAGTTACAAGATCAGATAAAATTTCACCATGATGAAAAATTCGTTATTTCTCCCTTTCACTATTGTATCATGTTGTAAATTTTGAATTTACTAATATATTTTTTTTTATTTTAGGTCATTTCATTTTTCCCTATGTTTATCGTCCGCGTGCATCTTGGTTTTTGACACCATAGATCACATTTGAATTCTGTCAATTTCTTTTTAAGACTTTCTAAAATCTGTCATTATAAATATATATTAAGCATTTAATACATTGATTTTGCTATGGAATAGATCTCTCTATGAGAAAAATAGATTGATGAAATCATATCCTTTGAATGACGTCATTTTTCTGACTACCGGTATAAAGTCTCTTTTAAATTTTGGCTTATGTGTTTTTTATGAATAGGTAGGAAGGTTTTTGAAAGATGGATGGGCGCTAAACAGAGAAAATACTTTTAATGGCCTAATAGCTTTTAATACGGTTTTAAAGAAGTAACATATGATGCAACGATTCCCATCATCAGTAACGTGCGATGCAACTTTCTTTAGCTATCGCATTTTGAAACCAATGTTATGATTATGTTCGATTTCTTTACTAATTATGAAATATGGAGATAACAAACAATATTCAAGTTCAAAGTCCATTAAAACAATACAAATCGGGAGCAGAGTAAACACGGACCTCCAAAACATCAGAGGTGGGATCAAGTGCCATGGAGGAGTGAGCATCCCCTGCCGAACGGTCACACCTGCCA